GCTTGAGCTGCCGCCTCACTGCACGTGGGGCATCCGGAGAGAAGGCCGAGCCACAGCAGTCTTTCCAAAGTCGCAGCTCAAAGGCGTGGCAAATACAGCTTCCCACACGGATGGTCTGAATGACGAAATACGAGTCACGAGTATGCCGTGTGTGGTGATGGTATTCTTGATTCTTGCAATCAAGTCGAGCGCATCATGCATGCGATGGATGCCGAGACCTACTCGTGACTGTACACCCGCACCTCCGTTTGGATGCGGAGCCTCTGATGCATCCTCACACTGCACGGGGGCGTGCGTCGTAACTGGTGCTTGACTAGCTAAGTGCAGTCATGCGTCAGCAGTCACGAGTGTGAGTCACGAGGGCAAGCACCAACCACCGCTTCTGCGTCTCTGCGGAATGTCAGCTTGAATGTCGCAATCACGAAGCGGGCTCGCAGCATCTCACCGCTAGATTTCAGTCACACAATGACGAGCCGAGACATGCGATCAGATGGATCCCCGAAGCATGCGCAGGATGAGGATGTCGCCACTGATGACAGGCAGGCCGGACGCGGCGAATACGCCAAAATTTCAAGAACGCCGCCGCCCGTTCGACTTTGGGCCCCCACATCGATGGCTCAGCAGTGTCTTTCCCGTACGCGGCATGATGAAACCAGCCGACCAGCGCGACGAGAGTTGGTATGGCTCTCAAATGCGATACAATCATCAGCGCCACGCCCTTGGACAATCGCCTCGATCCTACACAGCATCCACTCGCCACCACGGTGGAACAGCTGAGGCGGCGTAGTGTCTGGCTGTGCCCCTGTGTGTACCTTGTCGTTACGGTCACTTCGATGTGCTTGCGTGCGCTCAACGCCTCGAGAGATATGCGACATTGTCACCACACTGAATCTTGCCACCCGGACACGCTTGGCGGCGGCATTCTGATGATCGCACGCGTTCCGCTCCGATCGAGTTGTACCGTACATTGGGGCAGGCTGTGCTGACATAAAGCAAGGGCCACAGGTCGCCCTCCCCCTGGAAGATGCATCAACTCCAACCCCATTTCAAGCCTCTTTCAGCATTGGCACTACTGCTCAAGCGGCTCATCGTCGTTGCGGACTTGGACTTGGGAACATGAAGTTCTGGATTGTTCTATTTCCCATTGTTGTGTTGTGGTGAGTACGGTACTGTGCACAGAGACGGGCCTTAGCTGACCAAACGTTGCCGCACGATCGTCCCGAGGTTAGCAGCCTCGCCTCCTTGAGCGATTTTGTCTATGCGTCGCCGCCTCTCGCCGCAAAATGGCAGAGTGTTGCCGACGCATTAGCCATTCCGCAGGAGCGTGGGAAAGTGTTGGCTCGCTCGCCCTCCACCTCTACACCTCCCATACTTGAGAAGCGCTGCGAAGCGGCAAGGGCTGCCATCGCACAATGTCTTGCCAGCGCCAAAGAGAAGGCAAAGAGGCTCCTATTTGGAGAGCCTGATCCCTACCATGGACTTGATTTCGCAATTTCGTATCGTCACCCAAACGATTGGTACACCGACGGCGAAAGGCGGGCTCACGTGATCATGAGTATGAAGGACAATGGAGTAAGGAATGGCCAAGGAGGAAGACGTCGATTGCGGAACCCAATCAGTGTTGAGCCGCTCTCTGCACAGGCTAGATGGACAGCGAATCGGATCAAATGGCAAGCCGAAGATCCATTGGAAGAACCCGATGCGCAGCTCATGCATCAAGAGCAAGGCGATTGGTTTTTGCCTCCGGGCGGACATCACGCACATATTGAACGCAGAGATTTGGTGCGAGCTGCGCCCCGCGTCGTTCTCCAAAAGCGCTGCGGCCCCGCGACAGCTGCCATTATAGGCTGCCTGATCGAGGCGAAAGAAGCTGCCAAAAGGCTTTTCAGGCTCGGGCAGCGACAGCCTAACCTTTATCAAGGCCTGGAACATGCAGTATCGTGGCGTCATCCCAACGAATGGTACCTCGACGGTCAAAGAAGAGCGCACGTCCTCGTTAAATTGAAAGACAATGGCGTCCGCAATGGGCAGGAAGGTGGACCTCGACTGCGAAGACCCATATCGCTCGAGCCTGTCGGTGACGAAGATAGGACTGTGCTGACCAAAGTCAAGTGGAAGCCTGAAGATCCACTCGCTCAGCCGGATACTCAGCTAATGCAACAAGAGCTGAGGCAGTTTGCGCTGCTAAGGCAGAGGAGCGTGCCCGGTGCTGCGCCTTCGGCCATCGAGCGACGATGCATTCAGGGTGCTCTGGGTCGCTGCACGCAATACGCCCAAAAGCTTTTGGGCCTCTCGAACGATACAAGAGATGCTGTGCGAGCAGCCGAGCAGCGCGCCCAAGTACTGCCAAATGAGGAAGCGAGACACGGCGGGGCCCGACGGTCTCCAGAAAGAAATGGTCCTGTGCGAACATGGCGCTCAATCTGGTTCGACCATCCCAGATGGATGTACGTTAGCGATCGTAGGGGCGAAGCTTCTGTCTTCATCCGGACCAAGGACAATGGCAGACGCAACGGCGAGGATGGGGTGCGAAGAAGACGACATCCCATCGCCATCGATGGCGACATCTACAAGTCAAGGCTGAATCGAGCGGGCGTCAAATGGACTTTTGAAAGACCCCAAGAGCATCAGCACTTAGAAAGAAGAGACGGCGCTGGTTCTTCAAGCCCTGTGCTTCACAAGCGCTGCGTTCTCACGGCATTGCGCCAGTGTATTCGCTACGTCTTCGACTCGAGAGTGAACGAAGAGCGTTCGGGTGCGAGGCTTCCCTTGCTTGGTAGAGGTTCCCGGCACGATCCTACACGCACTCCAGACGTGTACAAAGGATTCGCAGTGGCGCATGTCATGCCCAACTTGCCCGAAAGCTCCACCACTCGAAGTGTCGACATCTGGGTCGGTGCAGAAGACAACGAGGTACGTAACGGTGATAGATCGGCGCGCAAGCGCAATCCAATCGCTGTAGATCGCGCAACCTTGGGTTCAAGGCTGGCTCGCACGAAAGTGCGTTGGGAGATTCAAAGGGTGCCACCACCTCAATTGCGGAATCCTAGCAATGCACAACAGATGATCCGTCGCAGGAATGTCTTGCAGGGTGGCAAGACGATGAAGAGAGCGCTAGGAATCGGAGATGACGCCGGTCTCGTCAAACGCGGCGGCACGGTCAAATATGCCCCGTCCAGAGACCGCAGTTCATCGTTGACGAGGCGATGCTTCCGCGTCGCTTTCGAAAATTGTAAAGATGCCGTTTCAGAAGTGCTCTTTGGTCCAAGCGTAGAGAAGCAGATCGCAGCTCTAACAAGAGCTCCCGTGTCGCAGTAAGTTGCCCCGATTGGCAGAGAGCGTGGCCATCGCGCTGTCTTGCCTGCATGAAGAGACTCACAATGCTCCCATGCACCCCCAGAAAGAACAAAAATTGAGCCCGTTCGGATCAAATCCAAATCTGAAAGGCTCAAAGAAGACCTCGCGCGCCCGTCGATCCGGGCAAGACGTTATTGGAGCAACAAGAGCGTCGAGAGAGCGAATTTGGGAAAAGATTTGGGCGACTCGGTTCAAAAGGGGAGGATCGAGCCCTACGAAGAATTGGTCATTGAACTGCCGAGGCAGGCGCACGAAGATCTGTTCAAGGCAAAGAGGGGCAAAGACGAAGTCACAGTCCGGCGCTGATCCTTCTCGCGTGTATGCGTACTTTTTGCCACTCGACGCACATGCGCGCAGACGCATCCAATGGACCAGTGGGTCATCAAAGTCGTGATAGCACATTGGCATTGCTTTCCCGTTATCGTGATAGTAAATTGTAGCAAGAGGGTTCTGACACTGGTGCCGAGCTGAAGCTAAGCTTGTATGCTGATTGTGGGCAATCGCGAGGCAATTCGCATAGATGGAGGTCGGAGATGGTGGCTATAAGGGTACATAGGACAACAGCATATAGAAAGGGCAAAGAGACCGCGAAGGAGAATGGAATCCAGTGACCGAGTGAAGTAGCATTGCGGATGCGTGTCCAGAGCAAGGTGATGAGGAGCGAGAGCGTAGACGAGGAGAGATGGATGCTGCAAGGCAGTGCGCATGGTCTCGAGAGAGGTGGCCTAGTTACACGAGGCAAATGCAGCTATTGTTACGACATGGAGTCCGTGCAGCTTAGACGCGCGTGTTCGTGCTCCTGTCGGTGTATGTAATTGACGTACTAATGTTGATGGTCATGCGTCAGCATTGCTGGGGAAAAGGTGCATGGCGATCTGCAATTGTGTGGCAATGCGACTCACCTCAACGATAAAGGCCACTTGCTCGGCCGTCTCGATAGCCTTGGGACTGCGCCTTCTGCGAATTGTCTCTATAAGCCGCTCCACAGTCGAGATCAGCCGCTCAGCGTCGGATTCGGTCGAGTCTGCCGATGCCTCGTTTGCAGCTCGTGCCGGTGCCGTTGCCAGAGCTTCGCACTTTGAGCCAACAAGGCCTAGCTTGTACATCCAAGTGCACGCGATCAAGCCAGCTCGGCCAACACCACCTCGGCAGTGGACCAGGACATGCACGCCTTTGAGCGTGTAGTCCGAGACGATGGATGTCATCGCCGCGTCGATCGTCTTGGCACACGTTGGAGCAAAGCCCTCTGCCATGGGCAGACGAACCACGTCCATGCCCAACTGATCGGCCTCTCGCTCGTACTCCTCCCAAGGCGCTCCGAGGAAAGCGAGCTCGGTGTCATCTAGACAGCAAACGACCACACCGACACCGAGTCCTCGAATGCGCTTCAGGTCCAGTCCAAGGTCTCGACAAATGGCGCCTCTGCCACGCACAGGGCCCGTTAGACGCACTTTCTTTCCCGGACAAGAAGACAAAAGCATGTTGCCCATGGAAGGTCGATGTGCTTCTTCTTCAGTGGACCGTCCCTTTGCCTCAGCTTGGCCTTCAGCCCTTGCCTGCGCTTGCACATCTTCCGGTAAAGCGGCGCTATGCGCGGGTGCGACTGCTCCGCTCGCTTGGAGCGTAGCATCGCCGGCTGCTGATTCCACCGGATTCGTGCCGTTCGCGGTTGCGCTGATCAATGGACGAGATGGCTGAGACGCCTCATATGCCTTCTTCGCGGCCTCGATTGTCTCCTTCTCCACCGTCTTGCCCACTTGCACCATGTCCAAGCTGGGCGGTAATCGCAGCAACTTCTCGCCGCGCGCTTGCCGAGACACGTGAACGTCGCGAGCATCGACCGACGGCGTTGGCACTTCGTGCAAAGCTCCACCGCCAGCATGGGGGCTGGTATGTCCCGCCTTTAACGTTTTCTGGCGCTCTTCTGGCGTTTTGAAAGCGGCATCTACACACGCGGGCAAGATGTTCAGGACGATTTGCGAAATCTCTGCCAGCATGTCAGGCGGTATGATAGGGCTAATACTGTAGGGCAAAAGATGTGCAAGTAAGCGTCTGTAACGATTGTAGGCAAAGTCGCGCCGCAAACGTACGTGATGGGATGCGTGTCGCTAGTCTTCATTGCCAGAGCTTGCTGCGCTTCTTGAGACATGGATGCCACCGTGACACCAGTGGGGCGTGTTGCGTCGTTGACGCTGCTCGCGGCGCCATTCTCTCCGCGTCGCTGCTCGCTCTCTTGTGTCAGTAACACTTCGCACGCGAGAGGTCCAGCTACGGCAACTTGGCTGCCTGCACGAGCTTCAGGAGGTGTCTGTGCCTGGCTGTTGGATCCTTCGCCTATTTGCAATCCGAGGCCTCCACCAGATTCCGTCGACCCCACCCTGGGGCTTGAGACAGACTGATGCGACTGCCCCATGCCATTGGGTGAGATTTGGTCGCCTTGCCGTGCCTGAGCGCCAAGGCTCGTGGACAAAGTGAGGTCGGCTGCAGTCGCGAGCCGCGGGGTTGTGCGAGCGCTCTCATCTCTGGCGGAGCTCGCAGAGTGCGGCCGCTTGATACCGCAGGGCGGACTGAGAGCAACTTTGTCCAGGTCCATGCTTGTCTCGGAGCTGGTTGGACTTTCTGAAGCTCGCTGATGCGCCGCCGCGCGGAGCTCATCATGCCTTCTCTGCCGTTTGGAAAGAAGCCACGCTGCTGATTTAGCTTCGTTCTCCTCCTGCTTGCGCAGTGTTGCATCGACGATGCGGGGATGCAGCATCGTGAAGGGCACATATCCATAGGGAGAACCTTCTCCGGATGAAAGAGAGCAAATCGAGCAGTAAGCAACTTGCAAGGAAATCAATCCTCATATCGCCGCCACTCACCTCGCGCTCCGTGCTTCAGCTGGCTGTACGGGCTGAGATGATGTTGACTAGCCAGGCGGCTAAGATCAAGAAGATGCACCCAATACTCGTGCCCGCCCTTGCGCGAAAGCTGCCAGACGAGCTTGAGCAGCCGATCACGCTGCTCATATGTTGGGCCCGTTTTGACGTTGTAGTACAGCAGCGGCACAATCGCGTGCACTGTTTCGCCATCCGAAGCGTGCTCCGGCGGAACGGGGTTGATCGTGACGCGCACCGTCCGATCCAATTCCGCGCTCGTCATTGGCAGCGGCGACGCAAGCGGCTGACACGAAGTGATTAAAGATGACGTCTGCTGCTGTTGCCCACTTTTTGTAGCGATCGCCGCTGATCGCCGTGGCGAAGTGCTGCCACCAGGCAATTGGCCGTGCTGTTCGTCGCTTCGCACACGATCGCCATTTTGTCGACCGTTCGCGCGCGACGTGGACGTATCCGGGGCAGCGTGTGTCCAAGCAGGAGCGTGAGTAGGTGCGTTGGGTGCGTTCGACCTTGTGGCAGAGAATGGCACAGCAGCACTTTGTGCCATTGCGTGCACCTCGCTCACCGCCGCGCAGGGAGCCGAAGGGCTGCCGCTTCGACTATGGAGTGCTCTTGGAAGGTGGTCTGGTCGCCTGTGAGGCTGAGGCGGCGAATTGTTGTGGTGAAACTGTCGAGGCGAACGCTCTACCAGACCTTGAGACATCTGATATCGGAGAAGATGCCCAGCTATGGATAATGGGGGTGTTTTGAATAGAGTTTCGCTCGTAAACTCTGCCACCGGACCTCGAATGATACGTAAACGCTTCGCGGTAGAGTAAGACTCGTGTGTTGGTGCTAGGGCCAGGAAGTTGACAAAGCAGGTGGATATTGAGGTGACAGTGTGTCCATAAAGCGTTGCGGTCGAGTTGCAGTAGGCCGCGTGCAATGGCGACGATCTCCTTGACTGTCAGTGCGGGGTGCAGCCAGAGTGGTATAGAGAGCAGAATGTGATTGGCAAAAGCGTTGTCGTCGTTGCACAAAGATTGCAGGTGCTCGATGCGCTCCTTTGGGTTCGAATGAAAGAATGGGGCAACGGGGCAAGGTGTCGCGCGAAGTCGTGTGCACGGTCGAAGCTAGGATCCCATGCAGGCAGTGTTTGGGGCCTAAGGCGTTGAGTTGGGCGAGAGCAAGGCGACCTTGCTATTCGTAGTCAGTGACACCGCACGCGGTCTGCTAGATTCCATGAAAGGTGGAGCAGGTCATGAGAGTGTCTGCAAGAGAGGGCCTCGTCGAAACTCCGACGGTCTCGCGCAAGGAGCTGCGCCAAAGGTCACGGTGGCGCGTGTAGGATAGAAAGACCGAATAACTTGCGGCTTGCGAAGGATCAAGAGACGACCAGGGTGTGAATGGGTCGTGGAGAGGGTGAAGTGGCCATTCCTGAAAGCAGGCCCGCGAGCAGGAGATGGGATCTGAAGAGGATCACGAGGTCACTCGAGCTTTGTTCCGGCTGGCATTCATCATTGTGATTCGTGATCGCTCTGCCAAACTGCCACCGCGGTATTCCAAAGAGGAACATGCGGAGTAGGGTCTGCGATGCTCGATAGCGGAATCGTACAGCTCGACGCACGTCGGGTGAGTCGTCTGGCGGCAGAGCAGTCTACGTGATGCCGCCCGCTGTGCCTTCCTGTTGGATTCCGGTCGATCAATTGAAGCAATGATTGATAGCGTGCGTGCCTTTCGGGTGCCTCATTTCATATCGACACAGATTTAGGGAACAGCACCAGCAACAAACTTGGGCCCTCATGGAGACAGCCGTCGCTCATGCACTCGCTCGTGCAGGCGAAAGAACGACGCGCTTGTATGCATTCAATGATTCCTGCATGTGCAGGAGCTCGCCGTCTTGGATCCTCTGCCTGACTGCCTCTCATGGCCCCGCGCTCATGTCCTCCACGAGCCATGCCGCAGGTCGGCTAGGGCTTCAACAACGGTGGGGAATGCGGGGCAGAGAGAGAGAGGCGTCATGCGACACTTTTGACTGGTGACTTTGCCGAGCATGGAAGCCCAAAAGGAGCGAATGACGAGCCTGTGATGCACACGAGAGCCAACAGCAGGCGCGTGCCGTAGGCAAGGCACACTCATCAACGTCGAAAGACGCGAAGGACACCGCTGCCCGCAACCCGATCCGCAGAACCACGAGTCGTGGGCGAGAATTCGTGAATCTACGCGGTGTCACGAAGCTCGTTGCCAACGATGACCGTTTCACGCAGCCTCACATCTAGATGTGTGAGAGCGCTGGACACGTCTGATGAGTCGACATACATCAGATCCGAAAGGCCAAGATCATCGCTCAATTGACCGAGGCCTACTTGTTCTGCATGGGCGCACTCGTAGATTTGCGGTTCGCAAGTCGTCACCATCAGCAAATCACGAGACCCGCCAGTCACGAATGAGTGCAGCTGATGCTAGTCCATCGTGGGGATGGGGCCGGTTTCAGCTAGCTTACTTGAGACCAAGGTTCGACCCGATTTGGCTCCGTAATTGGTGTAAAACCGGCGACTTGTTTTGGCGTTCTTCCTCACCCGCCAAGGCGCAATCGACAGCTCTGCTGGCGGGCGGGCGCATGTGCAGACACGGCCAGCGGCGCTTCGCGAGTGTGATGGACGCTGCTCTTCCGACGACTACACGATCTCGCAGCTGGTAGAGCACGGCCGGGGGAATGATTCATTAAGTTCCAGATTGCAGAGATTTCGCTTTAGACATGGCTATTTCCGTACCATTCCCAAAATGAGTGAATGGAAGATCATTATTCACCATTATTATCACTAGTCCTCCACTCCCCAACCCACGGCATCGGAATCCTCTGCTGTACATATATAGCTCTGCACAGTTTGAGCGACCACCTGCGAATACTACTGCCATTCAAATTCCGTGATTTGCCCCTAGCTATAGTGTGCAGTCGAAACACCGCGGTGCGGACAATCTCAGGCGAGCGAGTCTAGACTTTGCCGTGCAGCAATAAGTGAGGCAGCAGGGCTACAGTTTGTGACGAGTCAATAAGTGCATATACGGTATATGTAGCTGCTGCGAGGGGGCCTCAGCTGCTGATATAGACGCGGCTCGACAGAGAACGTGCTACCTTTTGCTGAAGAGTTGCGTGCGCTTGTACTCGACCACGTCCTACCCGTCGCAACGCTTTCGCGATGGGGACAGCGGGACTTCAATTAAATCCGATCCATCAGGTGTTTTTCTTTCTTCAGCCCTGAAAGTTGCTCAGTCCATGCCTCGGAACCGGGCTTCAATAAAAGTTGCCGCAGCTACCTTCAATGTCTCAAAGATTCGCGATGCATTCATTCTAAATTGTGATTCGTTTTCTTGACTCAAGCTCGACGTCATGAGTCCCTTTTGACTCTCCCCTCCGTAACTCAACAAAGTCGAGAAGGTGACATGTTGCTTACACATAGTCTCAATCCCTGCTGGCAATATTGAATTGAATCGTGTTTGATAAATCAGACGCGCATAGCACGTTTCGATTCAAGATGAAATCCAAATTGAATTTTTTATGTTTGAACGGCGCTAAAAAGCCAGGCGCAGGTGCATGCGTGCTGAGGCAACTGCCCACGCACACGCGCACGCGCACGCACACCGCCGGTTTAGCGCACTGATCGCGCAGCAGCTAAGCATCAGCATCGCGCGCATATTTGTGATCAGCTGCTGATGTTGACCCTGGCTGCCGCGGGCAGCGTACTGTAGATGCGCGATTGCGCCTGCTTGCTGCTGCTGCTGGCCGCGATGATGCTGCTAAATCAAAGCTAGGATTCTGTGTTCGCAATTAAGCGATGGTGCAGTGTGCACCCCCTTTGGTGAGCCCGCCCGAGCGTGCAGTGCCTACGTCCGCTGATTGATCACGATTTTATGCCTGCGCATGGAACGCAGCGGCAGCAAGGAGGCGACACTTCCGTCGCTCGGAATCGCGCCCATCATACTCGCTCTAACGCACTCGTACTCAAGACTCCTTATCATCAGCATTCCGTCTCTGATCTGTCGCGTTCAGTCTCTTCTCCTTGACCAACCCGAGCTTCTTCGACGGACGATCTGGACGCAAGCACGAGGTACAGGGTGCGATCCCCCTTCCCCACCAGCTAAAGTGAAGCTTCTGTCTCCTTCGGTAGCGACGGTGAACCCGTGAACGATTGCCTCTCCGACCTTCGCTTGACGACACGCTCCTGTTCGACGCTATACCCACGCGAGCAATCGCCCGAATCCGCCCTTCAAATCTACGGCTTACGTCGCCAATCAAGTTCTGCTGCACAAATTGCTTATACGCTCTTTTCTCCATCCATTCGAGGCCCGGCCCCGCTCCTCTCTTCACAGTCTCCACCACCATAGCAGTGCCGGTCCCTGCTGGTGCACAAACCTCAAAGCGGAAGCTCGTCTCTCCCCAGAAACATTGGAGTCGCTGTGAAGAAAAACTCTCCGCGGCCCCGCCCGCTGTTCCACCAGCAAGATGGCCCCGCAACGCAACACCACATTCACAAAGTCCTTTGTGAGACCGCGGAACGCCAGAAATCAGAGCTCAGGCGGCTTGCCCGTCCGGTCAGAGGCTCCACCGCCTTTGAGGCAGCCGACTAAGCTGCAGAGAGCAAAGACTCTCACACGCCCCGAGCGTGGTCAGCCACAAGTTCCACTCATCAACCCTGAAGGCGTTGGTCGAGGGGCCACGCGGCAGGGCTCTGGAAGTTGGACCTGTTTCAGCAGAGTTGTCACCTTCTGGGCACCTCCACCATGCATGAGAGCTTGTGGACTCAAGGATGCAAGCAGTCAACAGGCGTGGAGAGAAAAGTGAGTGTGCTTTTATCACTTTGTTCGTCCTTGATCGCGACTGATCTCAATGCCTGCGCACAGAGTGTCTCTGGTGTTCCTAGCCCTGCTGCTTGGAGGCTTTGTTGGCTTCTTCACCATGGGCCTTAACAAAGTCTTGTGTCCGGCAGCTGCCCAGACTCTACCAAATCAGCTTGCGAGGGTCGGAAAAGACTTGTCGTGTGAGTGCAGTGATCTTGGGAAGTGCGGTGTGCAAATAGGTTGTGGACGGGGACTGATCTTACCGCCGATTCGCATGCAGCCGCTGTTGGTATCGCTGGATGGGACTACAACATCACAGCAGCCAAGCTGCCAGGTCAAGCTGAGGTCGGCTACAACATGTACACGCGAGCTAGCGACGCTGCAGGATACGATGTCACCCCTCTTCTGAAGCGCACTGCAGCGAATTATCCCTCTTGCAGCGGCCTGAAGGGCAAGTTCGCCACCAGCGACGATTGTTCGCCAGGTCGAGCTGGATTGCCCGCCTGCCCGCTGGGCGATCTGACCACCGCGAACCTCCAGACTCAACAATTGTTCAACACGAGCAGAAAGGTGGGCTACGCGTGGGAGGACTTGGCGGACGGCAAGTTTCCCAACATGATCGTGAGTTAGATGCAATGCTTTCTGAAGAAGGCATTTGCTCACCTGAGACAATGTGGTCGTTCTTGGACTTGCTTGCCGTTTACAGGTCATCGATGGATTCGTCTTGAACATGCAACCTTACATCAACGCCAATCCGACGTCGATCGCTGGAGACGCGGTTGATGCTGCGATTCGGCGTGGACTTGCCCAGGATGCTGCAGGAGGGCGAGACGCAACTCGCATGTTCACTGTGAATCAAGACCTCAAAAGTGCGATACCGTGCTTGAAGGAGAAGTACCTCGCAGGTCGCATCGATAAGATCACACCTGGCTGCTTCGTCTCCAACCTGTTCCTCTACGCTTCCCTTACAGTCATCTTGGGTCTAGTGTTCATTCGCTTCTTGATGGCCATCTGGTTTTCATGGTTCATGTCGTGGCGAATGAGCGCCACTCCGGACGACTACGGCACCAACCGATTCAACCACAACAACATGCCTGGCGGTGCTATGACCACCGTCGATAATCCTGGTCAGGCACCATGGGCGAACAAGGAGCGACCTACGCCTTCGAAAGCGCCTCGTCTTCGCCACGACGACTCGGGTCTTACCGCAACATCGACTGCCGCCAAGATTGGTAACGAGCCATACGTCGTCTGTCTGGTCACAGCCTATTCAGAAGGCGAGGAAGGCATATCGAACACTCTGACTTCCTTGGCAGAGACCGAGTATCCCGACTCGAGGAAGTTGCTCTTCCTCGTTTGCGACGGCATGGTCACAGGCTCAGGAGAGAGCATGTCCACACCAGACATCTGCGTTGGTCTGCTCGAGTCGGATGCGCGCTTCGGCACTCCTATGCCTATGAGCTTCATCAGCGTTGCCCAAGGAGCCAAGGCGCACAATATGGCTATGGTGTATGCAGGCCACTACACACGAGGACGCGGCCACCGCACCCCTATGATCGTCGTCATCAAGTGCGGTACGCCAGGGGAAGCATCGGAGAAAAAGCCCGGCAACAGAGGAAAGCGTGATGGGCAAATGATCCTGATGAACTTCTTCCAGAGGGTGACTTACAACGAGCGCATGACGCCACTCGACTTTGATATGTTCCGCAAGATCCACACGTTGATGGGGGTGACACCGGACTTCTTCGAGCTTTGCATGATGGTGAGTCGTGCTCCGAGCCTCCCTCATCCCCCTTAGATGGAGACTAACCTTCGTCAACGACCTTTGACAGGTGGACGCTGATACGAAGGTGTACCCCAAGTCCATGCGGATGCTCGTGAACTCGATGATGAAGGACCATATGATCATGGGCGCCTGTGGAGAAACACGTATCTCTAACAAGCGTTCGTCTTGGGTGACTGCCATCCAAGTCTACGAGTACTTCATCTCGCATCACATGGTCAAAGCTTTCGAATCGGTCTTTGGTGGTGTCACCTGCTTGCCGGGATGCTTCTCCATGTACCGCATCAAGGCGCGAAAGCCGGATCAGGATTGGGTGCCCATCATCGTCAAGCCGGAGGTGACCCGCGAGTACAGTCAGAGCGTTGTGCACACGTTGCATCAGAAGAATCTCCTCTTGCTTGGCGAGGATCGTTTCTTGACGACTCTTCTGCTCAGGACCTTCCCGAATAGAAAGATGGTCTTCGTGCCCCAGGCACGGTGTCGGACAGAGGTGCCACACACATTCAAGATGCTTCTTTCTCAGAGAAGACGTTGGATCAACTCGACTGTGCACAATCTGATGGAGCTCGTCCTTGTTCGAGATCTCTGCGGAACCTTCTGCTTCTCGATGCAGGTGAGTTCACTTGTCAATCAGCCGCTGATGCGAATATCCGTGCTCACGTTCAAGCATTACTTCTACAGTTCGTTGTCTTCATGGACTTGATCGGAACCGCAGTGCTGCCAATTGCTATTGCGCTCACCTACACCTTGATCGTCTCCTACTGTCTGAACGCTCCTAAGACCTTCGAAGAGGCAATTCCCCTCATGCTACTGGTCGCTGTGCTTGGATTGCCGGCGGTCTTGATCTTGCTTGCTACCCGGAAAGTTGTCTACGTGGTATGGATGGGCGTCTATCTGGTTTTTCTTCCAGTATGGAACTTTATCCTGCCCGTTTACAGCTTCTGGAACTTCGACGACTTCAGCTGGGGAGAAACCCGAAAGGTCGAAGGAGAAGGCAAAGATACTGGCCATGGCGACGAAGATGGCACTTTTGCTGCTGCTAGTGTCCCTTTGCGCCGCTGGGAGGATTGGGAACGATCACGGTTGAAGCGAACCGCACGAGAGGAGAAGCGTAGGCGCGAAATGGAGAAGCAATTCGGGCGCGGTTTCCACAACGACCAGTATCTGGGAGAGCCGAGACCGGACAGCGATTCTTTCAGTGATCACGCAAGCAGCGCAGATCCGGATGAAGACCAATGGGGTCTCCACATCAGCGCTTTCGACGAGCACGCACCGCCACCACTTGCCATTGTCAGGCACAGTATTTGGGTCGATGGCAGAGAAGTCATCTTGGACGGCTCAGAGATGGAGAAGATGCTGGAGCAGGGCTGGTCGGATGACTTTGCGAGCGGACCACCTGCAGACAAGGGACCTCTTGCGCCCAGTGCAGTGAATGCTCGCCGAAGCGGAAGGTGGTCAAGAATAGAGGCGCCCGTGCCTTCAATACCCCATAGGTACAGCCAGTATCAACGACAGCCGACCGGCATGCCACCACGAGGCCCTGCTCAAAACGGATCGTCGCTTGATCTCATACCGCCATCTCCTCACGGTGACGATCCGTACGCTCCGCTCGTTCGGGGCATGTCGCAACCTTCTTCACCTCATTTTGGCCCTCACGGGACACCTAGTCCGAATGGACAAGCCAACTATGCCCGTCCGTATCCAAATGGGAATCCTGCGAGCGGACACTCTTCGGGCATCGAGGGTCGCGACTCTTTCAATGCCCAGCATGCTCGACAACGGTCGCAAGGCTCTGGCGCACTCGCTCCTGGAGGCCCTCTGGGCGGTTTCAGACCGCCACCTCGTTTCTGAACGCGCTGTAGCTACCCCGCTGGCCGATCGCCTTGTACATTCTGCTCTCTTGCATTAGGCTCCATCACTTTGTCACATCGGATCGGTCTCGATCAGCCCCTCCCCGGAAGATTCTCGGCAAGTCGACACTGCGCATGAACGCGACTAAGGCGGGAAGCTTCGCTTGCCGCCTCGTCGCAAGCTATCCTCCACTACACTCATTTGCAAGCACGAAGCATTTCTTGATCCACTCAACAGTCTTTCGTATCCTCTCCCTCACTCTGCGTGTGTGTGTGCGGCCATCGCAATCGGGACTGATGATGCGCTGAATGTACTCGTGATGATCGTGAGGCGCACTCGGCTGTTCGTCAAGGTGAGCTGACAAAGAGTCGTGCTGGCGAAGGTTGTGACATCCGTCAGAGGTCTCACACTTGCATTCACGATCAGCGGCTGGCGCACACAAGCTGAACACCTGCGATCACTCGAACGGGAAAGGTGCGGCGCAAGCA